TATGTATATATGTATATATGCATTTATATATATTCAATGTTCGTCAATTAAAAATTTGTTTATCATTTTCGTTTTAAAATATTTTATTTTGTCTTATGTATATATGTATATATATATAATAATATATATATATACATACATTTAATCAAGATTAGGAAGTTACTGTATCTTGAAACAAAGTAAAAATTACAAAAGTGAGTAAATTTATTCACTTTTGTCATTTTCACCTCATTTCAAGATACAAAATCGACTCCCAGGTTATCTTATATACATTTGTTATAACAATTTAGTACAATAATAAAATATAATATAAAAAGTAACTTATTGCCTTCAATTCCTATAATAAATGCATATAAAGTAATTTATAAATAATTTGTAAAGAAATTTTTCCTATATTTACCTTGAAAAGAAGGCATGCTTAAAATAATACGTTCGAATTTACCGCGTAACGATGACGTGTGCTTGTTGAAAATTCTGATTGGCCACTCGGCATCAGTGGGCGTAAACGTGCGCACGAGCATACCCTTGTCTTTATACCATGCGTATACTCAATATCGTTTCTTCATGATACACTCAGTGATACGAATTCCGGGCCGCTTGCAGCTAAAGTCACTAGATTGGTAAAGTACCGCAAACTCTTTCAGAAATGTTGCGACAATATGGGCGAAGTGCACATAGTACAGGATTCAAACTGCACCAACGTACACATGGAGTCAATTGGGTACATCTAACCTCACCGTACATTTTTTCCCGTTTATTAGTACCGCAGTGTCTCCCGATTGTGTTAAACAATGCCAGGCTGTTGCGTGGCTGATTGTAAAAACAGTACCGTAAAAGGTTTCCATTTGTTTCGCGTGCCCAAAGGTGAACGTAGACAACAATGGGTCAAATTAATCGGAAGAATTGAATTACCAGAATCGGCTAATATTTGTGAAGTATGATGAGAGTTATAAATGTTATAATCTTATGAAACCTTGGATGTTTTCCAGCAAGGACACAGACACAGCGAATTATTGCATCCTTGTTGTTTGCCTATGTTAAAGGATAAAATAATTTGTAAAATAATTTATTCCTGTGTCTGACTGTGTCCTTATTGGAAATCCCTTATACATTGCATTATAAAATATATTGCATTAATATAATTATTAAATCAATTTTTCAGGTACACTTTGGCGAAGAGCAATTCGAAAATAATCGGAAAGATGGGAAAAGAAAATTACGTCCATTTGCAATACCTAATTTATTGGAAAGCATAAATGATCCTTTGATAAATCCTTTAGAAGGTATAGAAGAAGATATAATTTCTACAGAAGAACGTACGATAGAACCTATGACAAATTTCATGGAAAAATATATAAACCTTGTAGAAGAATCTACATTTGTAGAAAAATGTACGACACATGTCACAGAGCAATGTACAAATAAATCCGACAGAGTCTTGTAAGTTTTATATAATATAAAGCCCAAGACACAATGGCCGTGTTTCAAAATTGACTGCCAATACTGGAAATCTATAGTGCACGTAACGTAAACTGTAGCATTTTCAGTGCTGGCAGTAAATTTGGAACACAGCCAATGCAAGGGAGTAGCGATAGCGATTAGTATAACACGATTTTAACCTATCAGGGCAGCG